CAAACCACAAGGACTTTGCTTTAATGGGCAGAAGGGAGAAGCAAGGAAGAAGTCATAAATAGTAGAAATTAGGAGGATAAGGAAAAAACCTCACCAAAAGAGTTTCAGGAAAAAAAACAGAAAGATTTTATACATATCACAGCAACTGTCAGTTCAAAGCAAGAAATATCAGGAAAGGGAAACCTGTGAAGGAAGTGCAGAGGTGGGAAAGAGGCAAGAGTCAGTCAAGATACACAACTGAAAAAAATTCTGCGAGTGGGTAAAAGGAATCAGAGAAAAATAAAACTTAGGAAAATATCTGAAAGTCTTGCTGTTTGGAACAAGATACTAAAAAACAAAACCAAATAAATAACAATAAACAAACAAACACAAATCCTAACAGAGATCAGTCTTCAGCTTCCTGAATTGTGTTTTGCCAAGTTATGAGACCATTGACATATTTTTGTCTGGTTTGACCAGGAAATTAGGTCTATGTCATATCCAAGGCTACCTGAGCCAATGCCATCGCCACGTGAACTACTCAGTGTCCAGACTGGCACTGACTCCAGTTAAGGTTTTATCCTTGCTGATGGGGCATAATATTTCTTCCCTGCAGTGGGTTCTATGGTGTTTAATACACCAGCAGTTCAGCTACAGTCCTCCTAATATTCAGCAGAAGTCAGACATACAAATTTATCAGAACCTTCATTAGTTCTGCAGCTTTGAGGAGGAGTTTGTTTTAGCTCTGGGAGGAAAGGATGCTGATGTGAAAAAGCTTTGTTATAAGAACAAAATTATAATTCAATGCATACTGAATTATTTTCAATATGCATATTTTCAATTTATGATGTATTTTCACTCTTTGAGAATAACTATTTTGACTCAGTACATCTCTTGTCACTAGTCAATTTACAAAACCTCAGACAGTAAATGCCTACTGGAAAAGGGGCAGAATCAGAGAAGTCATATACAAAGCAAAGACTTGAAAAGGAAAATACAATACAATTAGAAACATCCAGGTGTTTGATTTCACCAGAAGTGACAAAAATTAGAGGTAGCTGACATGAACAGGAAGGGTGGGACACACTAAGATGGAGAAATACAGTGCCAGGGAAAAGACAAGAGAAGAAGAACAAAAAGAGAGGGAGGAAAAGCAGGCAAAAAACTTGAAAGCATGAAGTCAACAAAATGAAGAAAGGTCAAGCTGGGAGCAATGAGAAATTCAGCCATTGAATAGGCCAGTGTTCACAAAAGGAGCAAGTCAGAAGGAAAAGCATCATTAGTGGTGGAAAAGGGCAAGTTGTGGTTCAGAGAAAAACAATTGAGAAAGATTTGGAGGCGCAGGGGGGGAAACCCACACAGAGTTTGGTAAAGACTAACTCAAGTGAATGAACTGAAAGAGCAAACAGGAGACGCCATCCAGAGAACAGCAAGATGGCTCCAAAAGGAAAAAAAACCACAGCTTCCAGAGACACTGGAATCTAGCTGGTTTTGACCTTGGAAATGGAGAACTTGTTTGGCATATTTGAGAAGAGTCTCAGATAACTTGAGGCGTTCAAGTACAACTTGACCTCTTTTAACAGGACAAAATGACATTGTCCAATTTTTTTTTCAAACTTACAAGAAGACAAAGTGTAAAGACAGACTATGAAAGAAATTAGTTTTGAAATAAATAAAAGTATTTATGAACTCTGTATCTTCACCATTATTGTTAGCATCTCTAATGTTTCTAAAAGAATTCTGCCACTCCACTGCTTTTTTCTTTGCAAGCAAATGTATTGATACAGACCATAAACAGGAAGACAAATAGATTTTGAGTATGTGGGGTAAAGGTGAGAACAACAACAATTATATAATGTGATTACATTTATACATACATGAAAATGCAGCCTCTGAATTACAGAACACATGGAAATTCAGCATTCTGTCTAAGAAATGAAATATGTCCTTTCACCAGCCAACAGACATCTGATATGATGGTTCTGAAAGGACAACGCAATACCAACAACAGTCTTCACTACCTCATGTCCAGATTGCTACAGTCATCCAAAAAGCAGTCTGTCTCTCTCTCTCCAACAGGACACAGGAAAAGCAATATCTCTTATGAATCAGCTGACAAAGGAAAAAAAGAAGGTTCCTGGCAAACACACCACTCTCTAGATCAAGGTAACACATGCCTGAAACGTCTTCCATTTCTTTAATGTATTTATCTCCAGGCCTGGCCTTTCTTACAGACCCAGACACGATGACCATAACAATACCATTACAACACAGGGCATAACAGTAATTAATCTCCTCCCATAAATTGCCCCAGTCTTCTGTCCTGCATTTGGGATTATAACAATTCTTCTTCTTATCACTGGAAACTGGTATCTTCTGGAAGAAAAAAAATAAAGTAAGAAGTACCAGTTCACAGCAGTCCTTACATCACGAACAACATGTTGAGAAGTGAAACTGCTCCTAAACACCACTGAATCTCTTGTGTGTCACCGCACTCCTATTTCACAGAAACCTGATGAACTACCTAAACAGGCTTTGGAGGCACAGGCAAAACTGAGAAAACACATGTGTTACTCCCCAGAACAAAATGTTTAGTTAGCTGCAAAAGAGGCCAGTTGTAAAATTCTAATCCAACTGGTTCAGATATATCTTTAACACTACTTCAGGAGTATTTCTTGATGTTAGTGTATTGAACACACATAATTAAGATAACCAAAAGGAAAAAAAGCAGATACTAAAATAACTAACTTGCTAAATATAAGGTGGAGTAGCTGAGGAGCTTCTTTAAAAAGAGCTGCAATAACAAGTTTGCAGCTAAGGTCTAATTAATATTTTTACTTTCTTTTTTGTCTGTGAACTTCAACATGGCACCAAACCGTGTTTAAATTACAACCTGCTGCCATTTAGGTGAGCTTTCATCCTGGTAAGCTGCACAGCAGACACAAAGCCCTTGTGAGGATTTCACTTCACTATGAATTAGTGTCTAACATTGAGAACGCCTTTCATCATCGGCTTGTATTGCCTTCAGGTGCCTATAAATTCCTCTCAGTCTTTATGTAGCACTTGTCTATCAGACCATGTCATCAATTTTACTGCAGGCAAGAGGCAGACACACCTCTTCCTGAGACACAGACAACACAACAATTACCACAGCCACTCTTGCATTATCGTTTCATATCAGCTCATTGCCAACTGCTAATCACCCACGACTCGCTATGGAAAACACATCACACTTTCCAGGCTCTCTTTACCTCACTGGCACTGACACCTGTAAGGTTAAAATGGTCTCATCATTGACTGTGCCAATCCTGCATGAAAAAATCCCAGACATTGCATGCCACCTGAATAGAAATGAATACTCATAAAAGTATATAGGGACTTTCAAGTTTTTAACCAAGTCTGTGCTGCACTTGTGTGTAAAGTAAGTTATTTTGTAAAAAAAGAGGTGACGTGAAATTATGTCTTCTGCACGTTAAAAAAATAATACATGAGCACACCTATCCCTCCAGGGACAAGGTAACTCAAGAGATGGGAGGGTCACCAAGTTACTCTTACCTGTGATCAGGAGAAATCTAAAGCTGTAACCATCACCTTGTAGCTGTTTGGTTAAATGTGCCCGTGCTCAGCTACCATGAATGGTTGTTCACTCACACCATCCCTGACATCAACCAACTGTGAGATTCCTCACTTAGACACAACAAACAGAGAAGAAGAATTAACCAAAGCCTTTTCTGCCTGAAGATTATCATCCTTCACCTAAGTTCACATTTGAGGGCCTAATTCTGAACCCAGTTAAAATCTGCAGTTTGAAACAATGAAAAGCTCTTACAGTTACTGAGTTTCAGCAAAGTTCCTCCCCTTCCTCTGAAGCACGGTGATTGACCTCATCAGTCCCAACCCACTGCAATCAAGCCCAAGTAAAATGAGTTCAGGTAAACCACTTCCATTGCTCAAGCTATGATCCTTGTTTCGGCACAGGAGAACCACCCACACATAATTCAGTTATTTCATCTCAGCGGGAGCTCCCAGCTCAGGGGTAGGAAAGTCACTCGACCCGGTAACTCCATGGCTTGTGATTGCCAACCCATCCTCTCATGACATTGCTGTAGCCATGAGATGCAGCCACTTCATGCAGCCAAGCACCTTTTTTTTCCCTGTATCATGTAGTATTTCAAGGAACTGAGTTCAATGCAGCCCACTTCTCTCTGTCATTTCAGTAGGGACTGTGTCCCCCGCAGAGATGGAGCATCCTGCTGCCTTCCCACCTCCCAAAGAGCACGCCCCAGCAGCCATTCCTCTCCAGGTTCCCACTGCACGAGGGAACAAATGCACACCATCAAATTATTCTTACGAAACAATTCAGTCTCCGAACTGCAAAATCTCACCTAAATGTGTATTTTGCTTGTCACTCCTTTTTATTCTGTTTTCATAGGAAGGAAGTAACGATAAACAAATTACTGCATGCGAGCTCTGGCAGGCGGTTTCAAAGCTATTGACAAAAACCAGTCTATTCACTGCAAGCGTCCTACTTTTACAGTCTCTCTGATCAGGATGCAGAGGACTAATTCAATAGTTCCCAATGCAAAAATACCTAGTGGGCGTGTTTGATTTCCAGAGACAATGGTTTGCCATGTGGAGCTTTTCTCTACCTCCATCCCTCCATTCCCCCACCTTTATTTTTCCTTTTCTTTTTTTTTTTTTTTAAGATCTGAAGAATTTGCTCTGAAACAGCATTGTAATACTTCACTTCCACAAAACCGACTTAAAAAAAAAAAAAAAGAATAAGAAGAGAAAGAAAAAAGACGTGGGAGGGGAAGAAGCTTTTCAGTAAGGCTGGGACCTTACTATTTAACCAGGGCAGGCTGCTTCCCACCGACAAGTCCACATTATGAGGACTACACATGGTAGTGAATGCCAAAAAAACCCCTGTAAATCAATTCAAAGAGAGTCAGGTCAAACACAGGACTCTGAATTTAAGTATTTCAAATTTCATTCTGGAGCAACAGGGTAAATACAGCAGACCATGCAATAAATGCTGCTGAGTTCACAGCAATCCATGTGCTAACTGAAGACCAACTCCCGGGCATTAGCAAGTCCATTTGCTCCCTGCTCTTCAAACTATGACAAGGCTTTTATACATAGGCCACCAGGCACATAAAAAGAACATGTGAAAACTCATGGCAAAGATCACATCTTCCAGTGTTTGGGTCTCACAATAGCACTGACCACAATTACAATTTCAGTACCATTCACAGGCCTCTGACAAAGCAAAATTTCCATGTTTTACGCTAAGCTATTCCAGTCACGGATTAGAATCTCATCAAAACAGCACCCCCATTGTCCTCTTTACCAGCATTGTTTGTTAGGAATGGAAGAACTATCCACTGCAGTTTATTTATCAATATTTCCCTTTGGCTCCCAGAGGCATGTGCTTGCTCTCCTTTGTAACTGAATTTAATTGACATAGTAGCCTGAGATTTAAGACATATTCCAGCTCTGAGCCCAAATCAGAAGGCCTCTCTCATGTTTCTGAAAGCCATTCAGTTCATCTGTTTGTTTTGAGTTTTGTTTGGATTTTTTTTCTCCTCCCTTCTTCCTCTTCTACAGCACTTTGATGCTCTTCCAATCAAAGCCATAGCCTGTCCCTTTCTTGGCTCTCCAGGACACATTCTCTGAAAGGTGTCAACATCTGAGTGTCAACCACCAGCCTTTATACTTTGTGTTTACAGTTTACCAGAACCAAGTTGTTAAATCCCTTCATATTCTAAGCATACAGAACAAAAAATTTAGTACTTTAAACTTTAGTTCATTCTCCCACATTCAGAGGGGTGGTGGTTACGCAGGTACTTCCATAGCATTACTTGTGGGATATCAGACAATGTTATGAGGGCGAAAAGCTGTTCTGGCTGTATAGGATTCATGGGAACACACATGGGAACAGACCAGCATATGGGCCTGAAAAATGGCCTTTATTCAACTACATATGTAGAGATTCTACAAAGGGAAAATACTCCTTTTCTATTTAAGATTTCTAATGACCTATGACACAGAAGAAAAAAGATGTCATGTGGCAAAAATATATTATCTATCAGCATTAGGTGTAATATAGAATAAGCTACCTGCCATTTTGAACTTTATCTTTCCCTCAGTTTGGAAACCTGTGGAGGCACTCCAATGTACTGCACCTCTATTGATCACTGGATTCATGGAGCACAGGACTGGTGGGCGCTCAGGATTGCTGCTTCCTTGATCTTAAAGAAGGTCACACATCATTTTCAGATAAATAGCTTCACTTGATCTTGGTCTCTCTCTTCACATTAGCTAAACCAGACCTGGGGTTTCACTACCAGAAAAAAAAAAAAAAAAGCCATTTTCTTCGTGCCACACTATTTTCAGAATGATTTTTACATCCACTTTGCTGAGAAGTCCAAAGTTCAGAGCTCTCTCAATCCCCTTTGTCTTTGTCCTCCAAACACACACATATATGCACATCATTAGAGGACTTTTTCCACTTTTGCAGCTTTTCTTTGTTTCGACAACAATCTGGATGGAGAAATAACAAAACCTACTACTCCTTCCCCACTCCTCCCCCCTGAATGATCTGCTTTTAATCACGACTAACATTTAAAACAGACATTAGAAAGGAGAGGCTACCCCTTTATAATTACGGAGCTTGATAATTACCTGGTGACTTGTAACAGACCCATTCTCAATGCATCTTCCTTCCTCTCTCCCTTGATAATGTAATCTAATCTCTTGGCTATGCTTTCATCTGGCATCCAATGCTGCACGTTGTTTATCAAACAACAATCTTTTCTTAGGTAATGACAGAACAAAGGCAAGGAAGAGCAACTATGGTAATACTACAGCACTTACCACTTCAAAAGTAACTGAATCGGTATAATTTACATTGCCTGGGTGCTTTTTTCCTTCTTTTCAATACAATATTATCTGCTCTATGCAAGACCACGACTTACCTCCACCCTTTTATTGGACACTCTCTGTATTTACACATTACAGAAGCTATTGTGCAAAATGTCAACAGTGGAAGTCAGAATGAAAAACAAATACAGAAAGCTGAGATATTTCATATATATATCTTCATATTTGAAAGGACAAGCATTTTCTATGACAAGAAAACCATGTGCCTCATGTTACTGGACTATCACAAAATCTTTGCAATAATGTGCATGACTATTTGTCTTTAAGCACAGATTTTAGTCTCTCAATAGCTCATTCAGAAATTCTGACAAGACTCTAAACATAAGTTAAATTTCTCAAACTTCTGCTAACTCAATGTTGAAGACAGGTCAGGTTGCAGAAGTTTTTGCTTTGGGTTTTCTGAGGCCAATGATCTTGTTTCCTAAAGATGCCTGTACTCCGTATTCCCTGTGTGCCTTGACTTCAGTAGTTCCTCACATTCACAAATCAAAACATAATGATCTCTGCAACATCCCACCTGTGCTATAATTCTGATGTAATGAAGAACAAGAGCCCAAAACCCCTGATATTTTGACAGTTCACAACTACAAGGACAACCAAGGGTACCACGGTAGTAAAACTAAACCTGCCATCAGCAATTAGCAGTTTGGTATCAAAATCAGAGTGAAACAGCTGGGTTCATCTGTATAAATGGTATCTGCAGAGCCAAGATAGCACTAATCACTGAATCCCAAGCCTGATCACTCTTATCAGGTGTCATTTGCCATGGAAAAATGCAAAACAATTATAAAATAGACCTGGGTGAAGGAAGAGATAGATGAGTATGAGGTATAGAGATACACAGTAATGTGATAATCTGAGCTTTAAGATTTTTGTAGCAAAAGAAACTGAATAGATGCATTATTATAAAAGAAAGCCCTCAAGTACCACTCTCAGAGTCACATCATATAAATCCTTGTATTTATGACTCATTACCAAAGCATAATGGCTTTATGGTGCATGACACTGGCCCAAACTATTACTGTTATTAAGATAATGACAATACACTTCCCCTGCTCACTTTCCATGTGATTTGAACAGGTTGAGGGAGAAGTTCCATCTTCCCTAAGCATAAGTTGAAACACGCAGCTCTGGTGATGTTCTCCAAAGACACAGCATAACCACCTACTTAAACAGGTATGAACCAATGAAGGACTGAGGTTAGTAAGTCAAAAACCACAGAAAACTGTGGTTGTGTGGGTGTGAGGATGCTGCCAAGCTGTGATGCTCTTACAGGCTCTGATTGAAAACACTGTCCTGGAACAGGCAAACCTGGTCAAGGTCAGACCTAAAGGTAGGTGAAATGGGTAACAGCATTGCAAATCAAATGTGAGATTGGGATATTCTTCCATAATTCATCAGGTAAGACACCCATTCCCTTAAGCACTGAGTTACCTAATGACACTAACTTAACCAATAATATTTAAAAAAAAAAAGAAAGAAAAAAGGTTCAAAATTTTTTCATGAGGACTCTTTGCTTACTTCATGATGCCAAAAGAAAACAAAGAGTTGTGAAAAAAGGAATTATTATCCTTCGTCACAATATGACTTCAGAGGCCTTTATAAGAATGGTCTTTCCAGGCATTCGCATAGTCATAAGGAAGCTCATGAGGACAGGCCAAAAAAAGTTAGGTCAAAGCTCTGCTGACAGAACAGAACACTGTTCTGATTTTCCAGAGAGAGGAAAGGCTTAAGCATCCAGTTATCCAACTGAATTAATACTTAAATAAATAACTCACAGAACATATTTTTCGTTGATGGCAATTTTTGCAAAAACCCAAAGCACTGGAGATAGGAACGGGTAATAAAACATTTTGTAAGCGTTTTTTTGTGATCAACAAAGTCATGTCTCAAGCACGTAAAGATCCAGCTACAGAACTGTGATTCTTTAACGATTCTGATTTCTTTAATGCCAGTGCTCAACCCCAGAGCTTTTCCTGCCTGGAGGCCACACTGCCTCTGGCGATCCTGTGAGCCAAACAGGGCTCTGAGCTCCCCTCATGCGCAAAGGAAGTTGTTAGGACACAGAACAGGTGTGGAGCATTGGCTCAACAGCCACACATGACTTCTCATTACAGACCTATCACTTATGGGACCACTTACACTGTCTTCTGCCACAAGGTTCAGCTGGAGGTGGAAGAAGCTGTGCCACATCCCATCAGTCCGGCAGCGTGCACACAAAACCTGTCTCCTTACATTTGTTATATGAAGAGACCCTATACGTGCTGTCCTTCCCCATGCTTTCCTGCTCTGGCCTCTTCTGCTCAAAAGCAGAGGGAAAAAAGGAAAAAAAAAGGTCACTCTGAGAAGCTTTTAAATAAGCAGGATAGATCCCAACCAAAGGAAAAGTTTCATTAGCATGCTAACTATTTAATTTCCTCCCAATCACTCATGTAGCAGCAGTGAATAATTAGATGGATTCGGTTGTTTCTAATGGTATTTATTTTTAAGAGGTTACACTATGCAGTAATTTGGCCTTCACATCTTTGCACCTGAACCTTTCTGTAGCATCCTCTCACAGCAATTCCATTTATATCCCACCCGGCAAAATACTAAGAAGATGCCCAGGTTAATTCAAAACCAGTTAATTCAGGTACCAGTCACACAGTTTGATTAATCCGACCCTCAGACTAAATACATTTCTCCACATCATGTGGGGAGCAGCACTTCTGGTTTTGCCACGGTACTGTTTCCCAGTACCTGCTGGGGCTCATTCAAATCCAGTTTATCTCTGGGCAACTCCATGCCAGGTCAGACCAACACACTGATTGTCCTGCTTTTGAAGTCAGCTGCTTCTCCAATTGAAAAGTGCTTCTCACACTAGTGCAGATAACAAAATAGTTTACTCAAGGAGTGCTGCCAAACCATCTGGCTCTCAAAAATGCTGCAATTATTTAATAAGTACCCAGCCCTTGTTCAATGAACACTGGCTATTACTGATAAAAAGCTCAGTTTTGGAGCAGTTGGAACTGTTAAAATATTTCTGCACCTAAACCCCAGGCATTTTAGCAGCCCCAGCTTCTGTTCAGTCCCGGGCAGAGCTGATGAGGGTGGGAAGGCAGGAGACACTCTGCAAGGGCTCTGCAGCTGCAGAGGCAAAGGGGAGGGAGGAGGGGAACCCAGAGCACATCTGCAGCTCCCTTCCATAATTCTGTAATTAAAGAAGTCTCTTAGTGATGAAACAATTTCCACAAACGTCACAAATCCAGCAAATTACCTCTATTCCTCACAAACTATGCCACTGCCAATAACTCTTGGTAAGCACAAAGGTTCACAAATCTGCAATATTATTGGATAGCTCTTGTAAAAAAGACAACCCAGGAGTGAATTACAGATTTATTAAACACTGATTACCCCAGTCTATAAGAAAATTGCCATATCTAACCTCCCCATTGCTGTTTCCCACCTTTCTTGCCTCTTGCAATAAAATCTTAGCACAGTTACTACATCTATTTTACTAGAAAAGAGTCATGCTTTGATTTTACAACAAGAGAACATTTATCAGTCAAAGTGCGATGTTTTAAAATATTAAAATTGTGGTTATTCTCTTAGTTTTCTAAGAAAGTACTGTAACAGCTGAATAAGGAAAGGTTATTTTAACCTCCAAAGACTATTGTTTCTTTTTTTCTCCCAAAAATTGTCTGGAGCCAGACAACACAAGGCTGCTGTGCCCTGGGCTAGAATGGAAGGGGGGGGGATGATAGGAGGGGGGTGCCTGTTTACAATTACTCCATTCCTGTTTTTAATGAATCTTTCTGAATGACCACTAAGTGCTGGTTTTGTTCTTTGGAACAAGGGAGCTATTACTGGAGGACTAAAAAAAGGAAGGAAAAGGGAAAGCAAACGGAAAGCTGCCAAACTCGAAGGCGTTTCAAACATTTCAGCTGGATGTCCCAGAGGTGATCTGCTCCACAGGCACTGTCCCTACACATTTGCAGCCTCTTCTCTTCCTCTTCCTTGACATGCCAAAATGAAACAGCTGAGATAAGGGGGAACAAGAGATAGTCAGAGCTAAAGTCAAAGTGAACAGAAAGCTACTAAAATATGAAGGATTACATTATTCAAATCTGAGTAATTAGAGCTTAATCACTTATCTACACGTGGCTCCTACTGCCACTTGCAAGCCAGACTTCCAGAACCACATAAGGTGCCATGTTCAGGAAGAAGGGATGGGTCACATTGTTTTTGCACCATCATCTGCCATCTTGGCACACCATCTGAAAATTGCCCTCCTCGAGAATCTCCCATTCCAGACAGATACCACTAAGCCAAAAAAAAAAAAAAATCACTGAGAAAACTGGCTTTCTGGTTTTTTTTTCCTAGGCTGGCAAGGTTGCAAAGCATCAGACCTTATTCTTCAAGATCAGGCTGAATGGGGCTCTGAGTAACCTGGTCTAGAAAGGTGTCCGTGTCCATGGCAGGGTAGTTGAAACTAGATGGTCTGTAAGGTCCCTTCCAACCCATTCTATGATTCTGTGATTATGCCAGGAACCTGACAAGCAGAAAATGTATTTTATATTTAGTTCTTACCGTATCTTAGTTAAATATTGTCATTTCTTACAAGCAAATTTTAATAAGGGGCAGGATGTCTCATGATTAACCAAAATGTATCATAAGGACAACCAACACACTTCCATTCTACAAAGTCATTTCAAGAAATTACACAGTACAGACATATAAAAGTGGCACTACATGGTTTGTTTTGTGTGGTGCATTGCTCTATGACTTGCTAAATGGCAGCCCATTTATAAAGCTGGCTGGGGGTGGACAGTTTCAGTTAGTTAACTGTTCATCATTTGTGACCTTTGTTTATTTACAAAAGGTACTGGTCCACTACTGTGTATCAAACTATTCAAGCTGCACAACGATGTTATAAGATCAGGGCTGTGATCTCAGGTGTCTGTAGTGCTGTTCCTTATTGCACTATTTCCAGCATCTTCAAAAGCTGTCAAACACATCTGGGCATGTAAAAACATAAGTTGTACATGTCTATACTCTATAGAGGTATTTGCACCTACTAACATGTTAATATTCACCTGCTGCACACTGGGCATAGCTTTCATTGCTTTTCTGCTTGCCTATAAAAGTTCTTATTTTTACCCCTTTTAATTGCCAGTGTGGTGACAAATCAACAAAAAGGTTTCAGTTTACCTTCAGAGTAAAGTGTTGGATTTTTAAAAATGCATTATAATATTATTTCTACTTCTGTGAGAAGTAGCAACGAAAAGGAAAGTTTTCCTTGAACACAATTAACTGGCACACACATATGGGATTCCTATCCTATAAAAGTGAAATGATATATATTATTTCACATATTGATTAATCCCACGTGTTTTTGTTACAGCTCACCATGAAGGATTTGGCAATATTTTTGCAGCTAACACAATAAAACCAATAATAAAAGTAAAATAATAATAAAAAAGCTTGCAACAACATATTCTCTCATAAAGAACTGTATAAAGCAAAAAACTGCTCTAAACTAGAAAATAAGCAGCCGTTATTATACAAAACCTACCTATTTTAACGTGTCATTTCACACGTACCTTTGACAGAGGGGTTGTTGTCAGAGAAGAAACCTTACCTGGTACTTTCCATCCTTCAAGCTGAGCATGTACTTAAGACTCAGAACCACCATGACTCATCTGACAAGAAGCTGCATTTCCTTTACACTTTTATGTGCGGTGATCACGTTTTATCTTTCAGGTTCCCTGCAATGGTGGCTGGAATGCACATTTTCCCTGCAAGGCAGCTTATGACTCAATCAGGATGGGTAAATTACCACACATTTACTGCAGCAAATAAAGAAGAATGTGCTGTGCAAAGGAACCACAACACAGACGACCACCTTTGCTGCTCTTTGTGTATCAAAACCTTCAGCTTCCACTTGCTGAGGCTCCTCCAAACTCCAGGAAGCAGTGAGTGACTAATACAATCAATTGTAAGGACTTACATTCATTTTGAAACATAGACATGACAAAACACATTTATAGAATATTTCTTCTTAAAATCTGGATAACTTTATTACCTGAACAAATAGAAAATCCATTGTGCAACCTGGCTAAGATGCTTACCTCGGTGACACTATATGGCAGTGATTACTATGAGCTATGTCTCTCCTTGACAGTTTTTTTAATTCAGTTCTTTCGTTAGCCACTTTCTTAGCCCTGTTAGTCACCAGGCAGCCACTCATCCACTCAACAGAAATATCTCCTTCAAGTTACAAGGAATACAAAGGATATTTTTATTCCATCTTCTTTCCCCATTCCCTTTTGCCTTTTTTTCACTCACATGCAGTCAAGTTGAAAACTATAACAATAAAAGACACATTCCCTTATCTGAAAATTGTTGTCCTCCCTGAACAACTGAGATCTCTGAAGCTCCTCCCCAGCACTGTATGGGCACTGACCACATTGTTCCATCCCAGAGCAAAACACTAAACTATTTTTATATCTTCCCTATACTGCTCAGTGTATATCTTAATGCTTTGTTTGTTTTTTTGATTGTTGCTGTGCTCGGAGCAGATATTTTCACTGGCACGGAGCCATCCATAAGTAATCCCTCAAACAAGCACTTGGTGCTCGGGAAATCTCTGGCAGGACCCTGTAACATACATACAAAAGAGAACAAAATAAAGCTGCAGCTGCCCATGCAGGTCTGGTGAACTCCCAGCATCAGCCTTTACAACCTTAAAAGTGTCTTTTATCAGATTCTATGTATGTTTTATTTTTGAAGCTTTAAAGCTATCCACAAGGAAAAGCAGAGAGTCTATCACGTGGCACACTGCTGACAGAGCAGCAACTCGGGGCCCTCACCTCTTAGGGCTGGCAGGGACAGGTTATTTCCCGTACGGTGCCCGATGTAACACGGTCCTGGTCAATCACCAGGGCTCCAAGGAGCCTTTCTGCTTTTACTACTAAAATAGCCAATCCACAGCCCAGACACTTTCCATGTGGACGATGAGAATAATTTGTGGTAGCAGGAGGATGTTATTCTGTGCATGGACCAGCCTGAAAACCCTACCACAGATACGTAGCCCGCGGATTACGCTGCTCTTTGCAGGGCAGTAGAGAAATCATTTCTTTTAAGACTTGGCTTCTTTTTCTGGCCCCTAAGGAGGAATGTGGTGCAGTGGTTACCAGCATCACAACCAAATACAGACTTCTCTCAAAGTCTGGGTGACTAAATGGATGCTATTTAAGAGCCCTGGTACAGTTACAATTAGACCTCTGCTTCTCCACAAGCATTTAATGCAACCACAAGCAACATCTCAATCATGTCATCTGCAAACAGGGTGAGCGCTCCTTGCTTGCCTTCTGTCTGTGGTCCTGTGCCATGACAACCATGAAATGCAGAGAATTTACATTCAATCAAGACACCAGTATTTTTTGGATACTTTTGCTCTTTTCTTTGCCACAAAGGACAGTGAAGGGACCTCAGAATTCTTACCTCCTCCCTCTCCCCAAGCCCAAAGTCCAGCTTGCACTTTGCAGACATCATGGGAAATGAGACTGCAGTTAACACACATAAAGCAGTATGTTGTCCAGACTACCCAAAACACAGAGAAGATGCTTGCAGAATTTTGTGATAAGCTGATTAAATTTGCTGAGCAAATATATCTTCCATGGCCAGATCTAGGTGAATCCTTCCAGGGAAAGCAATCCTCCTGTTTGGATCATCACCAATGCTCCAAAGATGAAGAGCCTGGAGTTTTTCAGAGGCTTGATTTAATCTACACAAATTATTCCTTTTTTTTTTTTTTTTTTTTTAAACCTCAGAATCATCTGCAACATTGTTATGAAAACTTAAAGAGACAGGTCAGCCCAGAACAAAGAGTGAGCCCAAAATATTTAAGAGTGGTTAATGTCGGACATTATTTCTTTAGTGGTACATAGGTTTTGATACTACACCAGTCAAAGAATTAGAAAGAATTGAGGTTTCTTTTTTTGGCTTTGCTTGGCTCACATAATTCAGGGAAAAGGTGCAGCTACATCAGCAGAAAATCTGTACCAGAGTCTTCTGCCAGCTTAGCTAGAGAAATACAGCTCCTGGGGACACTCAGCTACACCAGCACCGTCACAACTGGGCAAACATTGTCAGCAGACCAGACACGAGCAGGATTTCAGGCAGGCAAATCAAAACTGGAGCACAGGGGAGATTTACTGCCAAGTTACTTAAATTTCTGTTAATTCAAGTTTGTGTGCAATTTGCCTTACCTTGCACAAAAGTGCAGTGATTGAATATCTTTTCAGTTCAGGGCCTGCACACACCAACATTGCTGCTGCTGGTAATTGCCAGCTGACACTTCTCTGAGAAGCATATCTTGTATGGAGATTAAAGAGAAAGCAGGAAACAAGGGTATCTTAAAAGGAAATTCCCCACATTTTTTTTCCTCTCAGACTATAAAACAGGACGAAGACGACTTCAGGATTAAACACACGATATCTTTGGGGTGTCATTTACAGATCTGATGAAAACTGAAGTGAAATTGAGATTATGAAAGACACAAGATTTTTTTTGCAGTATTTTTATCAGAGATTTTAACTGGCATATATGTAAAGCTACAACTAGAAGATTAAATCTGAAGGAGAAAAAATTATCCTCCTGTTGGTTTACTTTTTTCTATGTATTTTGGAATGTAAGAATCCACTTCAGGCATCCTGGAGAGCAGTGGTGTGCCTACATAATATGGTAAAAACTAATTAAAAGGTAAAGAGAACAGAACCAGTGATACAGCCTAGTCTAAATTTTGTGCATCCTAAACAAATATATAATAGATATAAACACTATCAGAGACCTTTCAACCCCTTAAGAGAGGATAAATATTTTCCATTAATTTTAATGTTCATGTAAAACAAGTCCCTATTACCATTATCTCTAATCTTTTTCTCCATCTCTAGAGACCCCAAAAAAATTTCAGAACTAACCAGATGGTCAGTAAGCATTAGCAAATGACTTTTGATAATAAAATCTAATTAGTTCTGACCTGATCTCCATTGTGTATTATCAGTTTTGGCCATCATAAGAACTTTGCAGTTCCACAACCACTACAGACAAAACTTGGACACAAAGTC